CTCGTGAGACCCTGAGCTGGAATCACCTAGCTAAGCTTCTCTGAATTCTTGACCCTTAAGAGACTGGGAGATAATATATATTGATTTTGGTAGCTACGTTTTGGGGTAATTTGTTACATGGCATTGGATTACGAATACACAGCTGAAGCTGTGCAGAAAGGGAAATTTATAACTCTCAATGCATATATTTTAAAAAGGTGAAATTCAGTGATCCACTGTATTTCTCAGGAAGTTAGAAAAATAACAGGAAACCATAGAGGATGAGTTAGGGAGATAAGTACAAAAATTAAGGCTAGAAAACATAAGCATAACAGGGTCAGCAAAGTCAAAAGTTCTTTGAAAGACTGAAAATGTTGGTATAAGATTGAGGAAGGAAGAAAAAAAAGTCAAAAGTAACCATTATCAGCTTTAAGGGGGCATCTCTATAGACTCTTCAGACATTAAAAAGAGGATATCTTAAATGACCATATGAGAAATTTGAAAATAAAGATGCAACAGGTAAATACTCAGAAAAACACTTATGAAGACTGGCACAGAGAAGAAGAAAATCTGAATAGACCTGTAACTATAAATGCATTGACTCTACAGTGAAATTTCCTTATTTTCCTGTTAGTATTTCTGTTAAAAAAAGTTTAACCTGAATCTCACGAGGAAGTAATCAAATTCAAATTAAGAAACAGTCTGTGAAGTAAATCCATATCCTTCAATCATTTAGTTTCAACAAAGGCTAAGTCAATAAGTAAATAAAGTTACAAGGAAACTAAGAAAATAGTACAAGTATAAATGTGATATGTGAGCCTTGATTTGGATCCCGGCTTTAGGAGTCAAGAAAATCTATAAAGCAGATTTGAGAAATTAGGAGAAATTTCAGTATGAATTCTGTATTACATAACAGTATTATATTGATAGTAAATTTCTTGAGTGTTGACACATTTGTTGCATTTAAGGATTAGAAATTCAATATTCTTAGGAGACTCATGCTGAGGATCTTGGGCTGTAGTGTCATGATTCAGGTTCACATGGTTCACGTCTATCCACTTACAGCAAGAGACAAGTATGGCACCATATTACATGTATGCTATACCAAGAGAATCCACTTGAAAATGCTTTGACAGGTTACAATTTGTCTTATAAAATGATAGCTCTGGGACCAGATAGTGGTAATGGCTGCACTGCATGTGAAAGTAGTAAGTGCTGCTGAGTTACACATTTTAAAATGGTTGAAATGGTGAGTTTTATGTTGTGCAAATTCCCCCTTTCCATAAATCTGTCTAAAATGCACATGTAATAAACACACAGGAAAGATTTGCATTTTTGGCAGTATTTTAATAAGGGTCACTAGCTACCTTTGACGAATGCATTCTTTAAAAGCAACATAGGGGCGCCTGGGTGGCTCAGTCGGTTAAGTGTCCGACTTCGGCTCAGGTCATGAATTAGCGGTTTGTGAGTTCGAGCCCCGTGTTGGGCTCTGTGCTGACAGCTCAGAGCCGGGGGAGCCTGCTTCAGATTCTGTGTCTCCCTCTCTCTCTGCCTCTCCCCACTCACAAACACACACACACACACACTCACTCACTCACTCACTCACTCTCTCTCTCCTTCAAAAATAAACATTAAAAAAAAATTAAAAAAAAAAGCAACATAGAGGCTCAGCATACATTAAACTTTGCCACCAGACAAGTTGTAGAAGTTGTGTTTCAGGCATATGTTATATACTGAATACTCAGAATTTGTAGATTTGGGGGCTCCTCAGTGGCTCAGTTGGTTAAGTGTCGGATTCTTGATTTTTGGCTTGGGTTACGATCTCGTGGTTCATGAGTTCGAGCCCTGCCTTGGGCTCTGCGATGACAGTGCAGAGCCTGCTTGGGATTCTCTCTCTCTGCCTTTCTCTCTGCCCTTCCCCCTGCTCTCTCTCACTCTCTCAAAATAAATAATAGACTTTATTAAAAAAAAAATGTGTCGATTTCAGGAAAACGATTTTGACTTTGGAAGTAGCTACGCGAGATTGTAGTACAGAGTCATAAAGCTGCCAGGGACTTTGAGAAATCATACTTCTTATGTTTCCTTTATGCATAAGGATTTTCCTTGGAAAAATGAGACTCTTATTTTCAATATCCAGAGGTACATGTTATGGTCATTGATGAGTAGCTTTGAGGATGATTAATGAAACATGGCTGTCAGTATATTGTATTTGAGGAATGTTGCTCTTACAAAAGGGAAAGCTTGAAAGGTTAAAAATATGCCTGTTGGGCATTAAAAAAAATCTCCTAAAAAGAAAACTCCAAAGCTGAGAGGACTCGCTGGTGACTTCTGTTAAAACTTACAGAATTGTTGAGAGCTTAGTAAACCAGATAAATACAGAACCTATGTCCTAAAACCAAAACTTGGCTATAAACCATCAATAACTAATTAGCAAATATAACAGAAGAACATAAATCACAATAGCAACAAAAGCCTTCATACACATAGGAGTAAACTTTACCAGGAAATTAGAAAACTCTTCATGAAGAGAGGTCTTAAAAAATAACGACAGCCTTGGCATTGGGTGGCGAGGGAATAGTCCGTTTTAGTGAAAATGTCTAGTATAGTATACTCCTGAATCAGAAGATTCAGTGCTGTAAAGATGTCATATCTCTCCAAATCATGGTATAAGGTTAGTGTGTTTATATTTGAAATCCCAGTTGCTTTGTTTTAATGGAATTTAGCGTGCCATCAAGTTCATTTAGGAGAGAAGATAAGCACAAACAGCCCCCGCCTCCAACCTAACCCAAACAAACCTGGCAACTTTTGCCATGCTAGGTATTTAAAAATATTTTTGAAGTGTTACAGAGAGGACGGTATTGTGTCAAGCTAGGGACAGAGTTGTCAGTGAGATGAACTAGACAGCAACACCACTTGTGTACCTAAGACTTTGATTTAGTTAGAACATAGTAGACTTCAGGTGCAGTTACTTTTCTGTAGACATACGGGCTTGGAATTCTTAAAATACCCTATGCAGAGTTACAAATTTTACTGTGACGTTTTAATTTTAATTATGAGAATATTCAGCTGTTAATATACCTTTAGTTATTACTTATTTATTTATTTATTTATTTATTTATTTATTTATTTATTTTAAAGTTTATTTATTTTTGACAGAGAGAGAGGCAGAGAATGAGCAGGGGAGAAGTAGAGAGAGATGGAGACACAGACTCCGAAGCAGGCTCCAGGCTCTGAGTTGTCAGCACAGAGCCTGACGCGGGGCTCGAACTCACAGACTGCGAGTTCATGACCTGAGCTGAAGTCGGGTGTTCAACCAACTGAGCCACCCAGGCGCCCCTAGTTATTACTTTTAATGAGATATTCCCCAAAACTCAGTTTTAGTCTGCCTTCTGGAACATACCTGCTTAGATGTAAATGATCACTTTCAACATTTTAAAAAACCCTTCCTTTTCTATACTTGAAGAGAAGGAACTTGGAAAAAGCTTCTTTGAAGAAGTCTTAGATTCAAATCCTACCTCCCTTATAAAGTGTATAATCTTGGGAAATATCATAAAACATAATAAACTGTATCTCTCTGGGATGTTATAATGATGAATAATTATGTGAATAACCTAGAAAAATTGCTTCTCAACTCTTCTTTCCTGTTAATGGCTGTACTTTGTTTGCTAAGCTCCTTTGTGTTGAATGCCTGGTGAGTCAGCAGGTGTGTTTCCTTCTGCATGGCTCTCCTCCCCCACCCTGGGGGGAAGGAAGGGACTACTTCCTTGAAGTGAAGGTTCTTGGATTTAACTGGGTTGATTCTTGGTGGTTTGTCTTATCTGTTTCCTTTCAGTAAATATTGTACACTGTTGTCTGACAAATCTTTGCATTTTACTTGAGAACAGCATTTACCTCTTGCTCTTACTGGGTCCAGAGTCTCTACCATTTAACCCATTTCCCCACCACTTCCACAAACGAACACAGTAGTCCTATAGATATTTCCGTTGCTGTCATATACCACAGTCCCTCTCACTTTTGTACTTTGGTTCATATTCTTTTGCCTAATGTGTTTTTCTTGTTTTCTTCGTACCTTCCTTTCCATCTGTTAAGCCTTATTGGATGTCTCTGGTCCAAATTGATCTTACGTTATCTAGCTTGTTTGTGTAGCACAGTTGAACGCCCAGTTCTGAAGTTAACAGTATAATTGTTGTGTTTCCTTAGAATACTTTCATAGTTTTGTTTTTTAAATATTTGGATAATTGATCCACTTGGAATTTATCCTGGTCTGTAGTCTGAAGAATAGCTTCCAGATTGCTCTACAATTGGTAAATCATTTATGCTTTGATCCATCGTTTCCCCAACTGTTTTGAGACAACCCTTTATCTTAACTCTTCCATTAAGGGCCATTTTGGAGTTGATAATCTATTTTTCCATTGGTCATTCTGACCCTGTACCTACCATGCCCCATAGTTTTAATTATTGAGGCTTTGTGATAAGCTTTCATATTGGTAGGACCAACTCTTCACGCTCTTCACTTTCTCTTTGCAAAAGTTTTTCTCTTTATTCTTGTTTGTTAGTTTTGACAGTAATCTTTTATTGAGATTGCATGACATTTACAAATGAGAGATAGACCTTATTTTTGTAGGTTATGATTTTTCACTATACTGTCATATAACCATTTTGCAATGGTTATGTTTTACTTAAATTTGTGAGTTGAAATTAACTTTGAAAGGGGCGCCTGGGTGGCGCAGTCGGTTAAGCGTCCGACTTCAGCCAGGTCACGATCTCGCGGTCCGTGAGTTCGAGCCCCGCGTCAGGCTCTGGGCTGATGGTTCAGAGCCTGGAGCCTGTTTCCGATTCTGTGTCTCCCTCTCTCTCTGCCCCTCCCCCGTTCATGCTCTGTCTCTCTCTGTCCCAAAAATAAATAAACGTTGAAAAAAAAAATTAAAAAAAAAAAAAAAGAAATTAACTATGAAAAACCATTAAACTATGACTTTAGTAGGCACTTAGGAAACTGAATTATATGTGTTGTTCTTTTTCAGTTTAGCCCAATGGCCAAAGGCTCCCAAAGATACATGGTCTCTACTGGTGCTGATGGGACAGTTTGTTTCTGGCAGTGGGATTTAGAATCCCTGAAATTCAGGTAGGTGGCTCTAATAGTGTAATAAGTTTTCTTTTCAATTTTTTTTTTTTTTAACGTTTATTCATTTTTGAGAGAGTGCGTGTGTGCACACAAGCGCGGGGGAGAGAAACACACACACACACACACACACACACACACACACACATTCCGAAGCAGGCTCCGAGCCATCAGCGCAGAGTCTGATGCGGGGCTTGAACCCACGAATTGTGAGATCAGGACCTGAGCTTAAGTCGGACGCTCAACAGACTGAGCCACCCAGGTGCCCAAGTTTTCTTTTTCTCATGTTACAGTTTAGTCTAATGAGATGAAGTCTGATTATAAAGTGAAGTTGTGTATTGTGGTTGCCTTTTTACTTTTTACTATTTACAGCATTAGTGCCTTATTGACTGTGTACTGTTTGCAATGTACTGTTTGGATGGTTGGATAGATAAAAGAATCATGTTCTTCTATCTTAGAGGGCACATTCTATGGGGGAAAAAAGTGAGATCATATGCGAAACATCTTGAAAAATGTTAGAAGTGTATAATTGGACGTGTAGTCAGAAATTTAGGCAGGATTACTGAAGAGTCAGAAGACCTGGGTTGTAGATCTGTGCTGTCCAGGACAGTACCCGCCAGCCGCATATGACTGGTGAGCACTTCATGTGTGTCTGGTGCAATCGAGGAGCTGAATTATTAATTTCAGTTTAAAACCTGATACTTGATTCAGGTATTATAAAACCTTTAAGCGTATTACAAACAACTTGAGTATGTGAATTAAGGTTTTATGAAATCTGAATAGAGATCCGGTGTCTTTGGTGAAGAGATACAGTATGCGTGCCGTATGTTCTGGAAGATTTCAGAGATGTGATATGAAAAGAATCTAAAGTTCTCATTAATGTTTTTATTAATATCGATGTGATATTTTGGATATATTGGGTTAAATGAAAAAAAACTAATCTTTTTACATTTAATGTGGCTCCGATAAAAATGCAGAGTTACACCTGGGGCTTTCATTGTTTCTGCCGAGTGGCGCTGTCCCCTGGTGGTTGTGTTCCCCGTCCTACAGCCTTGATGGCGGGTTCACTTGCATTCTGGGTTTTAGTCCCCTCAGCTACAAGACCGGGGCTGGTAGGTCTGCTCTTGCTGTGTGGTAGCGTTCTTGTGAACATAGGGATTGAACAGTCTTCCAGAACCCATCCAGCTGTAATATTATTTGCAGAGATACTTGACATACTGTGGTGCTTCATAAATAAAAGGTCATACTATTTAAATGTGCTAGATTCAAACCAGTATTCTGAACCCTGTTAATGTGTTAAACTAATGAGTTCTAAAACGACATCTTCTTCTTTTCAAGTCCACGTCCCCTGAAGTTCACGGAGAAGCCTAGACCAGGTGTTCAGATGCTTTGTTCTTCTTTTAGTGTTGGTAAGATAACTTTAGTCATTCTTTTTTTCTTAGTTTTATTTTAGCCTTTATTGAATGGCCACAGTATTGCTTAGAGCCTTTCTCAGATGGATAGTAGATGACTTAGGTTTAATCTATGATGTTTATTTAATTAACTTTTTTCTTTAAAAAAAATTTTTTTTTCAACGTTTTTATTTATTTATGGGACAGACAGAGACAGAGCATGAACGGGGGAGGGGCAGAGAGAGAGGGAGACACAGAATCGGAAACAGGCTCCAGGCTCCGAGCCATCAGCCCAGAGCCTGACGCGGGGTTCGAACTCACGGACCGTGAGATCGTGACCTGGCTGAAGTCGGACGCTTAACCGACTGCGCCACCCAGGCGCCCCTTAATTAACTTTTTTCTTGTCTTTCACTGTCCCATTCTGCCACTCTCTGATTTTTAATGGTCATCAGAGTCTGTGATAGTCGAGCTGGCAGAAGGAGGCTTAAGGCATCCATGTGTCCGTGGTGAGATACACCAAAACTGATTCTCTTTAACAGGCTGCACTGTGTACTTTGATAGTTTGAATTTGTTTTCCACACATCCTGGTGAAATCATTTCCGCATTTTCTTTTCTTACACAGTGAACTTGGGTAGTAGTTTTTCTTTTTAGGCGACGTCAAAGACTTCCCCCCATGAGTCTGGAAACTTGAATGAGTGAATTTGTATTCTGAAGCGAGGTGTGGGTGTGTGAGGTTCTTTTGAAAGCAGAGCCCCTTTTGTCAGTCATCTTTAGACTAGTAGCACATAGGGTCATTGCCCAGAGTTTGTAAGGCAGTGGGAGATAGTGAATATTTCTGGGTTGAATTACTTTTTAAATTAAAGTCCCATCTGATTTATGTGGTTTTTGTTTTGTTTTGTTTTGTTTTCAACACCACCAAACAATTCTGTATCTAGCACCAGCTGGGTGTCCTACAGTTCGTTCAGTACCGTTCTGACACTATCTACCTAAAGAATAGTGTGAGATCCCACGGGTGAAGAGCTCAGTCCTACAAGACTCCCCCTGTCCCAGATCATGTTGTCACCTGTGCTCAGACTCATGCGCTAAAGATCGGAGGTTCCCACAACACCCTCCTTGGGTCTGATTATTCTGCTAGAACAGCTCACAGAACCCAAACATTTTACTTACTAGATTTCCAGCTTATTATGAAAGGATATAATTCAGGAACAGCCAAATGGAAGAGACACAGAGGATAAAGTGTGTGGGATGGGGCACTCTCTAAGCATGCCACACGTCCCCAAATCTTCACGTGTTCACCAACCTGGAAGCTTTCTGAACTCTTTCCTTTTGGGTTTTTATGGAGGCTCTATTAGGTACAGTTGATTAAATCATTTGTGATCGATTCAACTCCCCCTCCCCCCCACTTCTCGGAGGTCAGGGGAGCCCTCTGATCACACGGTTGGTACTTCCGGCAGTCAGCACCCCCATTAATGTGAACTTTGTTAATGTGAGCTCTGGTGTGGTTGAAATGGGTTTGTTATGAATATCAAGATACTTTTATCAGTGTTGTCACTTAGGAAATTCCAAGGGTTTTAGGAGCTCTGTGCCAGAAATAGGGATGAAGACCCAGTATGTATTTTTTATTATAAATTGCAACATCGCTCTGCATTATATTAAAGTCTTTATGTAATGAGTTATAAAATGGATCTATTGAGATAAACTTAGTTTTGGAATAAGAGATTTTGCTTAATTTGATACAGAAATTTGGTTTGTTTGGATATTTGTTACAAACCCAAGTTTTTTAACCTTGACGTTTTTATTGCAGGTGGTATGTTTTTAGCCACAGGTAGTACTGATCATGTAATCAGAATGTATTTTTTGGGTTTTGAAGCACCTGAAAAAATCGCGGAACTTGAAAGCCACACGGTAAGTACTCATGTTATAAAATTCTGTAGATTAATTGTTAATATTCCTTTAAAAAAAATTTTTTTTTTAACGTTTATTTATTTTTGAGACAGAGAGAGAGCATGAACAGGGGAGGGTCAGAGAGAGAGGGAGACACAGAATCTGAAACAGGCTCCAGGTTCTGAGCTGTCAGCGCAGAGCCCGACGCGGGGCTCGAACCCACGAACTGCGAGATCGTGACGTGAGCTGAAGTCGGACGCTTAGCCGACTGAGCCACCCAGGCGCCCCAATCGTTAATATTCCTGTTGGTACATGGTCAAATATTGCTAACGAAATTGTTCTTGATTTTAATTTTAGATATAGGAGGGATTGCATGTATAAAGGTGAAGGATATTACTGACAAGTATGTGACAGTGCTAATATTTTGTGGTGGTTATTTCAGCTTTAAGTGACAGTTTGGGTGGGGTTAGTTTCAAGGGGACTACTCTTTTTAATCACACTAATTAAATCAGAATGCTCTTTTATTAATGTATAGTAAGATAGATAGCTCTCAGGATTCTAGAATACTGGTCAGTGGTCAGGTTATCTTTTTTTCCTGTAGGAAGTTCTGTGAAGTTATTTGATAAACAGATCCAGATTACTTTAAAGGGAAAAACATTTTGAACCTAAATGATCATCAAAGTGAATAGGACTTGTTTTCAACTGTTAAAACCTTTATGTTTTGATCACTTTCCACATGTGAATTTTTACACAGATGTAATTCATTGTAAATACAGTTTTAAATTTAGAATGAAGTCTTCTTTTTTTAATAGTCTCGTTAGATTCACATTAGGTTTTTGCACCTAAATGTAAGATACGTGTTTGAATGATGAAGCTAAGCAGCACAGATTCTCATTCTTGTGCTAAACCAGATGTGTTTCTAGCTCTAAAATGGAGGGGGTTTTTTGCTTTGTTTACAAATAAGAGGGTTGATCACTTTTCTGTTTGTTTTGTGCCCCCCTCCCCCCCTTTAGGATAAAGTTGATAGCATCCAATTTTGTAACAATGGTGATCGGTGAGTAAGGGTTTTTGTGTTTGTGAGTGGGTTTTTAGGCAAACATACTGTGCTGCATAGTAGTGCAGCTAATACATTGCCTTGCAAATTGCAGGTACTTAGTAGTAATTGTATGAATTGAATGAAATGTGTCTGTGGGGGGGGGGTGGGGAGGGACACATTAAATGCAAGTGTTTAGAATTGTAGCTTCTACCAGCTCCTATGACCAAAGTAGCTTTCCTTAACTCACTACTGGCTAAGTGTTTGATTTGCAGGAAAATTAGATGTAAAGATAATAAAATTCCTGATGTTTGAGTAGTTAAAAAAAAAAAATCTCTTCTAATCAACCACTGTGATGTGTCATGTGACAGAATTGTCACTTAAATTATATACTCTCTTATGGTCCCAAGTGTCTTTCAAGTGCCTTTTCTAAACTGTGGTTTTTACTACTTTCTCTTGTTAAAAGATTGACGTATTTTTACATAGTGACCAACGTGAATTAGCTTGAGTGTAAAGATGCTAAAATGGAGCTTTTGCTCTTACTGATTTTCCCACACACACACCTTTAATTCTTCCTAGTTATTTTTCCTTGTCCAGGTACTTCTTGCACATTGTCTTCTCAAAACTCCATCTATTTGACAAGCTATTGAATGAGTTTGAAATGTGCATTAACTCCATAGGGCCAGGCAAATTATAGCAAACCAATTTTTCCCATTCAGATAAGCTCTGAATCCCTGTCTTTCGAGATAACACCTCTGCATTTACTTGCGGTCAGAATAGCTACATTAAAAGTGTTCTGGCTTGTGATTTTATCTGTAGTTCTTAGTGGCATGTTTGTGAGCATAAGATCTTTTTCTGAATATTTTAAGGTTCTTAAGTGGTAGCAGAGACGGAACAGCACGGATTTGGAGATTCGAGCAGTTGGAATGGAGAAGCATTTTATTGGATATGGCGACCAGAGTCTCAGGGTAAGTGGAAGCAGGTGCATTGTAATTACTTGGTCCTTCTCTCCCTGGCGGTTGACTGCTGTGTTCAGGGGATTGGAGCCACTTCCTGTTAGGAAGAGCAGTGATCTAAATGAATGGCTGCTTCCTGCATATCTGATAGATACATAAGATATGTAAATCTCATTTTTCCCAAAGAATTGATGCTTACATTTATGTTTCTGGTACACTGCCTGCTGTAGGGTAGCCATGTCAAAGGTTTTATCAGTTTTTCTGAGAAATGTTTCACATTTAGTCCTTTGGAAATCCTCATGTCTGCTTTATTTTTAGTAATTGTAGGGGAAATTAACTCATTCTCTGCTGTGTCTCAAACAGTTCTAATTTGGTTTCAAAATAAATGAGATATTAACATTTTTGTGAAATGATCTGTGGTAGGGAATGGAAGCAAGATGTACTGGAAATCTGATAATCCTTGTTCACAAACAAATCACACCATTACCATGATTGAAAAATGATCCGTCTGGATACTCAAAAGCACCTTAGTGTGGGAGTGAATACTGTTAGTCCTTGATTGGTTGAAATAGTGAAGGTTATTTCACTATTAAGAGGATAATTTGAAATCACACTCACCTATGAAAAATTATTTTATTAAGCAAAATACGAACATCGATGTAAAAACTTCAGTAAAGAAAGTTTTACTGAGACAGAAAACTGCTCAGTTTTCTTGTTGCCTTGGAGAGCACTTTGCCTGAAATCCCCCCCATGGTGGGAATTGTCTTTTCTCATTTAAAGTTTTACCTCTTTCCAGTCTTGAAAAACAAGAGTTTTAATGGGTATATTCGTTTTAGTGTTCTAATCTTGGGTGATCAACTTGGTGAAGGACAAAATGTCTGTTGGTTCAAAGCTATTAACAGGTGAATGCCTTTTAGTTTAAAGTGAAGCATGGATGGGGAGCCCGGGTGGCTCGGTTGAGCGTCCCATTCTTGGTTTCTGCTCAGGTCCTGATCTCATGGTTCATGGGATCAAGCTTGGCATCAGGCTCTGTGCTGACAGCGCAGAGCCTGCTTGGGATTCTCTTTTTTCCTCTCTCTCTGCCTCCCCCCCACTAAAATAAATAAATAAACTTAAAAAATAAAGTGAAGCATGGAGTCTTTGCCTTTACTCCATTTTGCCTCTTATGTTACACTTTTCCCTAACCAATCTAGTTAGGATTATTCTCTTGTCTGTGTTCCATTGTGCTTATATAGAGAGATACTGTGGGATACTTCTTCCATATTCTTATGGTGGTTTTCTTTAATTACAATGTATGTTTGTGGCACAAGGACACTCAGATCATTGGAACAGAATAGAGAACCCAGAAATGGACCCACAAAGGTATGGCCAACTAAGCTTTGACAAAGTAGGAAAGAATATCCAATGGAATAAAGACAGCCTCTTCAGCAAGTGGTGCTGGGAAAACTGGATAGCGACATGCAGAACAGTGAACCTGGACCACTTTCTTACACCATACACAAAAAGAAACTCAAAATGGATGAAAGACCCAACTGTAAGACAGGAAGCCATCAGAATCCTTGAGGAGAAAGCAGGTAAAAACCTCTTTGACCTCGGCCGCAGCAACTTCTTCCTCGTCTCCAGAGGCAAGGGAAACAAAAGCAAAAATGCACTACTGGGATCATCAAAGTAAAAACCTTCTGCACAGCAAAGGAAACAGTCAGCAAAACTAAAAGGCAACCGACAGAATGGGAGAAGATATTTGCAAGTGCCATATAAGATAAAGGGTTAGTATCTAAAATTTATAAAGAACTTCTCCAACTCAACACCCAAAAGACAAATAATCCAGTGAAGAAATGGGCAGACGACACGAATAGACACTTCTCCAAAGAAAACATCCAGATGGCCGTCCGACATATGAAAAAATGGTCAGCATCACTCATCATCAGGGAAATACAAATCAAAACCATAATGAGATACCACTTTATACCTGTCAGAATGGCTAACATGAACAACTCAGGCACAACAGATGTTGGCGAGGATGTGGAGAAAGAGGATCTCTTGCACTGCTGGTGGGAATGCAAGCTGGTGCAGCCACTCTGGAAAACAGTATGGAGGTTCCTCAAAAAATTAAAAACAGAACTACCCTATGACCCAGCAATTGCACTACTAGGCATTTATCCAAGCGATACAGGTGTGCTGTTTCGAAGGGACACATGCACCCCCATGTTTATAGCAGCACGATTGACAATAGCCGAAGTGTGGAAAGAGCCCAAATGTCCATCGATGGATGAATGGATAAAGAAGATGTGGTGTATATATACAATGGAGTATTACTCGGCAATCAAAAAGGATGAAACCTAGCCATTTGCAACTACATGGATGGAACTGGAGGGTATTCTGCTAAGTGAAATTAGAGAAAGATAAACATCATATGACTTCACTCATGAGGACTTTAAGAGACAAAACAGATGAGCACAAGGGAAGGGAAGCAAAAATAATATAAAAACAGAGGGGTACAAAACATAAGAGACTCTTAAATATGGAAAACAAACTGAGGGTTGCTGGAGGGGTTGTGGGAGGGGCGGTGTGCTAAATGGGTAAGGGGAATTAAGGAGTCTACCCTTGAAATCATTGTTGCACTATATGCTAACTAATTTGGATGTAAATGAAAAAAACTAAAAAAAATGTTACGTTTATAATTTCTTGGGATGTATTCTCTGATTTCAAACGCAGCTAGGCCTTACCCTATCTCTGTGTATTACGAGTATATTTTACAGAGAGACTTTGCATGTCATGTTCATAAAGGCGGCAGATCATTGCAGGTGTTTGTGTCCAGGCCTTTCTTGCCAAGAGAGCCTGTAGGAACCGCCTGTAGGGCACTGTAAAGGGATGAGTACAGTTTTACGTACAGTTAAACAGATTGAATATCTGTATGTCAGGCACTTTTCTAGGTGCTGGGGATGTGAAGATGCTTTCCTTCTTTCTGTTTTCCTAAAATTTCTTGTCATCTTCTCTGGAGAGAGAAACAACTTTATTGCTGATAGGGCTTGATGTCAGGGGAAGGGAGTAATAAAAGGGGGAGAGAGAAAAAGCTTTGCCTTTATGAGCAGTGGTGGTGTCCTAACATCTGCCTTCATTCAGACTCAACTGTTTCTAAGTCATCCCCTCCCTGTCCCATTTTTGCCATAATCTGTTTATAGATAATCTGCTGTGGGTCAGATGTGTATCAGACATATGATGATGTATATACATGAACTAGATTACTTTTTGCTATTTTCGTATTGATTGTACCATTCAAATGAATTTACACATTGTGTGTTTTATCATAGGGACTTATCTTTGGAAGAGGAAAGGTTTATGAAACCCAAAGTAACAATGATAGCTTGGAATCAGAATGATAGCATTGTTGTCACAGCCGTGAATGATCATGTCCTTAAAGTGTGGAATTCTTACACTGGACAGCTGCTTCATAACTTACTGGTAAATAGTTTTTATACAATATAACAAATCAAGATTTTTTTTGAACTGTAATTTGATTTTTGAAAGTATAAAATTAATACACAGTATGTTCCATTGATATTATTAAATGAGTAGAAATTTGTGTTTATACTAATATATAAATCACTGTCATTAACACATTTTTAAAAGCCCTTATGTACTACGGCAATACGGGTTTTTAATTTGAAAGTTCAAGCTTGCGAACTCTCCTTAACTATATGATTTTGTTGAATAAAGGGACATGCTGATGAAGTCTTTGTCTTGGAGACGCATCCCTTTGATTCCAGAATTATGTTATCTGCAGGACACGATGGCAGCATATTTATATGGGATATTACAAAAGGCACCAAGATGAAACATTATTTTAATATGGTAAGCGAGGTGTATCTTCACGTATGCTTGCATTGCTTTCACGTGTCTGGATTATGATGGTTGGCCAGAAACTGATCTGTGTGTTTCGGCAGTTTATATTTCTAGCAGTCAGGATACTTAAAGACTAATAAATATCCGACAGCCATATGTATTTACACTCTGTGTAACTGGGTCACATGAATGAAAGATTTTCAAAAGCTATTAATTTAGCTCTCTATATGTGTGAATGTGTTTGAATTTGTTTAAATTGGCAAAGTTACGTTCATTGTATATAACTTTTTCACTAAATTTATTGAATACTTTGTAGTAAAAATAATAGTAAAGTCATCTAGGAAATCACACACATTGTTGGGTTTTTCCAGCCTTTTTTCTTTTTGCACATGGAATATTCTAAAACCAAATTAGGATCCTATTACATATTTTTTGGAATTTCTCATCTACAACCACAAGATAGTTACCAAAACCAGCAAATTTAACATTGATAAAGTAGCATTATATAATCCATATTCAAATTTTGTCAGTTGTCCTAGTAATGTCTTTTTAGTTATATTTTGCCCCTTGAAACAGTGTTTAAATAGTTCAGGATCATGAATTACATTAAGTGGCTGTATGTTTCTAGGTTTCTTTTTGTTTTTAAACTTTTTTTTTAATGTTTATTTTTGAGAGACAGAGCATGAGTGGGGGAGGGACAGAGAGAGAGGGAGACACAGAATCCAAAGCAGGCTCCAGGCTCTGAGTTGTTAGCACAGAGCCCAGTGTGGGGCTGGAACTCATAAGCTGTGAAATCATGACCTGAGCCAAAGTTGGACGCTCAACTGACTGAGCCACCCAGGTGCCCCTATTTCTAGATTTCTTTATTCTTCAACAGTTCTTCCTTCTTTTTTTCTATTTCCCACGTTGTAACTTTTTTGATGAGTACAGGCAAGTAATGTTACAGAACATCTATTTTTTTGTCTGATGTTTCTTTATGATTTGATTCTGTTAATACTTCTTTTTGGTGGTGATAATTAAAAAAATTTTTTTTTTTTTTTTTTAACATTTATTCATTTTTGAGAGAGACAGAACGCGAGTGGGGGAGGGGCAGAGAGAGGAAGATACAGAATCCAAGGCAGGCTCCAGGCTCTGAGCTGTCAGCACAGAGCTCAATGCTGAGCTCGAACCCACAAACCGTGAGATCATGACCTGAGCCTAAGTCGGACACTCAACTGACTGAGCCGCTCAGGTGCCCCTTACTGGTGATAATTTTAAATATTTGGTAAGGTGGTAGTTGCCAGGTTTCCCCACCATAAAATAGTTGTTTTTCCTCTTTGTAACTATTAAACTTATTTTTTCAGGAGGTATTTTGGGACTCTGTAAATATCCTATTCCTCATTAAATTTTCACTTACAAACATTAGTATCCAGTGCTATTTTTTTTTTTAATATAACCAACATAACATTTATTGGATTAGGAGAAACCATGGCAAGTTACTGCATGATTTGGAACATGAAAATAAGTATTGTGAATCCCTGAACAGAAATAATTAATTGACCAAATATCCGTTGCTCTTACCAGACTCTGAGTAACGTTAGCATGAACAAATGCATAAACGAGTCAGTAAACAGATGATGAACGGGCTGTGCTTTCCTCATTGTGAATAGTGAAAACTGGTTCAGTTGTTGAGGGTGAGTGAGAGCCCTTAGATCAGTAAGGCTGTCCGGGGTCCTGCAGGAATAGCCACATCATGAGTGATGGTGTTTCGTTTTTTACATTTATTTATTTTCGAGAGACAGAGACAGAGTGCGAGCAAGGGAGGGGTAGAGAGAGAGGGAGACACAGAATCTGAAGTAGGCTCCAGGCTCTGAGCTGTCAGCACAGAGCCCGATGCGGGGCTCGAACTCATGGACCGAGAGATCATGACCTGAGCCGAAGTCAGACGCTCAACCAACTGAGCCACCCTGGCGCCCCCGAGTGATGGTTTTTAATGGCATTATTCTTTCCATATTTATTAGTTGGCATTCTTGCATAGTTTTGTAGTCTTTTTTCATTTTACATAGAATGTTTTCCAAAATCTTAAATGTATTTAAAGAATTTGCAGTTGTATTTTTGACTCTAACTTCAGCCTTTCTCAGAAAGTTCCATATGTAGTGAACTTAACTGTTGTTGAGTGTTTAAGTGGTTTTTGAATATCCCGGTCCATGGCTGCTTATGTAGATCCATGATTATTTCCTTAGGGTAAATTCTGAGGTAGTTACTGTGTAAAAGAGTTTCTGTGTTGTTAAGACTATTGACTGATACACATGTGAGATGTTTTATAAAATTACTGTACAATTCATATTGAGTTTCAGTTCAAATTGTAATTCATTTTGGAGGCAGTCTAGTAGCAGGGTAGATAGATGAGTGGTTCTTAGATCTTTGATTGAAGGCCATCTGAGTCCATGTGTTTTGTGTTTTTTAACCTTAAAATTTTATTTCAGTATGTTTATTTTGGATAATTCTTGACAAACAATTATATGCATTATTATATTTATTACCATAAAATGCACTTCAAAACTCAAACAGTATGGTCAAACTGAACATGTGTTACTAGGCATCTCTGAAAATTACATCTCTGTGGGTTTGAATTATTGGAAAAATAAGTCTTTCCAGCAGTTTTTCTGTGGTCTTAAAATTTATAGGTGGCTCTATTTTCTTAATTATTCTTTATTTATTTATTTTAAAAAAAAAAAATTTTTTTTCAACGTTTATTTATTTTTGGGACAGAGAGAGACAGAGCATGAACGGGGGAGGGGCAGAGAGAGAGGGAGACACAGAATCGGAAACAGGCTCCAGGCTCTGAGCCATCAGCCCAGAGCCCGACGCGGGGCTCGAACTCACGGACCGCGAGATCGTGACCTGGCTGAAGTCGGACGCTTAACCGACTGCGCCACCCAGGCGCCCCCTTAATTATTCTTTAAAACTCATTAAGAATATTACTCCCCGAGGGGCACCTGGGTGGCTCAGTCGGTTGAGCATCTGACTTCGGCTCAGGCCATGATCTCAGTTTGTGAGTTCGAGCCCCACGTCGGGCTCTGTGCTGACAGCTCAGAGCCTGGAGCCTGCTTCAGATTCTGTGTCTCCCTCTCTCTGTTCTTCCTCTGCTCACATGCTGTCTCTCTCTCAAAAATAAATAAAGATTTAAAAAAAAAAACCCAAAAAAAACATTACTCCCTGCATTTAACTCATCAGAACAGAAAACTACATTAATTCAGGTTTTAAGCAGAATATGAGCTAAACAATTTGTGAGCCAAAGAAGTCTCAAGTGCGCAACAATGATCTTACTTTTGGTGAGACACCCAGACTTTGCTGTGTATACAGAGTTCTTCTTACCTTCACTGTTCAGCTGAGAGCTCCCAATTCTCTGTTAGATTACTTAGGATTGTAAATTACTGACATTACAAGATTTCATGAAATAGATAATAATCTTTAATGTGACATTGAATTGCTGTGCAATTGAATTGCATTGAATTGCAAAATGCAGGTTGCATTTTGTCAGGAATCACTGGAGGATTCTTCAAACTACAGGTAGAAACCCAAGTCTGGCTTACTCTGCTTAGATAGGTTGGCCTGCTCAGGAAAACTTCCTTTTCAGCAGGTACCTTAGCAAAACTTTTATTGCACTTAGGTCTCCGCGTATGACAGGAGAGTAGCTGCCAACATCTTTGACCTATAAGCCAGGGGTCCCTACCTCTACTTAGGCTTGGAGGTTCCAGGCCACGATGCGAAGTGGTGCCAGGATGAGGGTTGGGCTGTAGAGGTGTCTCCTCGAAGGACTGTGTGGGTGAATCTCTATTCCTGTGTTTTCACAAAAAATTAATAGAAAAGTATTTCTATACCATTTGTTCCTTTTTATGTTATGAGACAACACAAATTTGTATATGTATTATGTGGATACATAATAGGGCAGTGCCCTAAATAGCCCAGGAACTTAATTTTTAAATTTGTTAATCGGTGCCCATTTGTGCGTGGTATAGCAGTTGTAAAGTGCTTCTGATTTTCAAGCAGGTATTTGGGCATGGTGTAAGTTTGTTTTGGCAGTTAGTGGGTGGATGGTTCATCTTCCAACACTGATCAAACCTGGCATAAAGTTTACTTATTAGAAAGTTACAGGCTCAGACAACAACCATGCATGCAATAGCGATATGCTGTCAGTGAAACAACTCCTCTAACTGTAAATTGGTAGTGCTAACCTAATATAATTACAGCTGAAGAGCAAGAATAAAAATTTAAAAGCAGTCTGTTTAAGGCAATATTCATGATGTAATTGGAGCATCCTTCCTGAAATTTGTGGTAGTTTGAAATGAAGTAGGTTTAGGCATTTATATGTGCACCTTTGTGACTTGGTAGGATTACACTTTTGCATACAGTGGTCAGACATCTTAGGGGAAAGTTTAAACTCCAGAGAAGTACTGATTTTAGTTCATGAATACCATACTTCATTGATCTTTAATCATTTATCTTGTGGGTTATTAGTAGCCTTTTGCTATGTATTGAAACAGAAGTTTATGAAATTGCTTGTCATTTTCACTTCTAAGAAATTAAGGCCTTTACTTCGAATTGGCTTATGATCTTTCATTCTGTCATTTTGAGAACTCCTTGGAATACCTTTTGAGATATTTTTCTAGGCTAGTGGAATTAGAAGTGAATTTTATTTTCTGAAAATACATGTGCTTAATGCAAAATTTGTTTTTAAAGATTTTCTTTGAGAAGTGATGTGTTTGTAGCAGGAAATTGGCAGCAAACAGTTGATAAAGCAAAAGCGCTTGTACAGAATTGGTTATAACCTTTTCTCTCTGCTTCCTAGATTGAAGGACAAGGACACGGAGCTGTTTTTGACTGTAAATTTTCACAGGATGGACAGCATTTTGCCTGTACAGATTCTCACGGACACCTTCTGATATTTGGGTTTGGATGCAGCAAGCCGTATGAAAAGGTCTTTTGTTTTTTATTTTTTGGTAGCATTTTTAACCACTTAAAAAATGTTTTCATTGCAGTGTAGTTAACGTACAGTGTCGGCTACATTAGCTTCAGGTACACAGAGTTGTGACTCAGCAGTTCTGTCTGTTACGTGCTCATTAAGAGAAGTGGACTCTTAATCCCATTCACTTACTTCCCTCATCCCCCGCCCACCTCTCCTCTGGTAATTATCTATTTGTTCTCTATATCAAGAGTCCGTTTTTTGGTGTGTCTTGAAAAGGTCATTCTTAATACTTTCTTATAGTAGTAAAATAAGTAGTAACAGTATTTTGAAAATGGGTTAGGTGTACTGATTTGGTTTCCAATTGTAAATTGGTTTTTCAGATTATAAATGTTTAATATTTGTATTCTTTAACATATATAAACCCCAAAATGTCAATCTGTAAACTTCTTTTTTCAGATTCCTGATCAGATGTTCTTCCATACCGACTATCGACCACTGATTAGAGATTCTAATAATTATGTCTTAGATGAGCAAACTCAGCAGGCTCCTCACCTTATGCCTCCACCGTTCTTGGTAGATGTAGATGGAAACCCTCATCCAACTAAGTATCAGAGATTAGTGCCAGGCCGAGAAAATTCCGCAGATGAACATTTGGTTCCACAGCTAGGCTATGTGGCAACAAGTAAGTGCAAAGTCTTTTTTTTTTTTTTTTTTTAAATGTAAAAAATAGTATACAGAACTCATGTACTTTCAGATTCACAAGTTACTATTTTGCAATATTTTATCATTCTATCTCTAGATACATATAATTGTTTTTAACCATTTGAGACTTAAGTTGGACTGCATGTTCATTTATCTCTAAATTGTCAATATGTGTTTTCTGAGCACACAGGTATTCTCGTATGTAACCATAGAGAGTTACCAAAAGCAGGATATTTAACACTGATACAGTATTAAATACATATACACAAATCTATTGTCTGTAATCAAATTCTGTCTGTTATTCTAATATCTCTTAAAGCTTTTACTGTTCTCCCCTGATGTGGATTTCAGTATGGGACTGCACATTAAATTTATCATTGATAATGTTCAGGTTGTACAGTTTTTGGCAGAATACAGAATAGAATAAATGATGTTGTAGCCTTCCTGGAGCATCACGTCAGGATGCTTGCTTCTGATTGTGTTTTGTCCAAATGTTGAGGTAATGTTGTCTTTGAAAACTTGGTTAAGGTGGTTCCTGCCGAGTGCACTTTCTCCACTATAAAGAAGAAATGTGTAGGGAGATAGGAGACAAATAATCAGGTCTGTACTAAACTTTACCCATAAGTTTTAGGATCCACTGATGGTTTCTGCCTGAATCAGTTGTTGTTATGAAGGTTGCAGAATGGTTGTTTCCTAACTCTGTCGTCATTGCATCTACATTTTATTAGCCTTCCTTTTATATATTTACGTAGTTCATTAAGTTTTAATATGGACTTAGAGGTTGTTATATAGTGGGTTATAATCCATAACGGCCGTTATTTTGTTGTTCATAGTAATTTTAGATTTGAGTGTCAGAGTCTCAGGCTGAGTGTTGTTCCCTTTCTGAGTCCCTTGAACACTTCCTTTCTGGCACAAGATGTTTGAGTGCCGTCTTGTACTTTGCCTGTCCTCGTCAAGGGCAGAGTTTTTATTTTGTTTTTTTTTTTTTTTTTTTTTTTTTTTTTTTTTTTTTTTTTTTTTTTTTTTTTTTTTTTTTTTTGTATCTGTTCCCAGCAGTGTCGCCATACAGGTGTTATTAAGCAAAGAAAAAAATGCTTATGTTTTGTTGGGATGAGGATTGATTTACTAAAAGTTAATCACCAGTTATAGTTAAGGCTAAGACTTAATGTAGATCACTGTATGTTTACTGTTTCAAATGTTTATTTTTTGTTTAATTGAAGTATAGTTTACATACAATAAAATTCACCAATGTCAAGTGTACAAGTCAAGTGAGTTTTGGCAGATGTTAAGCAGTCACGTAACCACCACTACATTCAGGGTCCCCAAAAGTTCGGTTGGACTTATTTGGAGTCTTCTGGTCCTTTGTAATGACTGTTCTGTTTTGTCACTTTAATTTTGTCTTTTTAAGGAATTTTATATAAATGGAATTGTGCGATATGAAATCTTTTGTATCTGGCTTCTTTAATTTAGCATGATGCCTTTTTAAAAATTAAAAAAAAAATTTTTTTAATATTTATTTTGAGGGAGAGAGAGACAGAGCACGAGGGGGGAGGGGAAGAGAGAGAGGGAGACACAGAATCCGAAGCAGGCTCCAGGCTCTGAGCTGTCAGCCCAGAGCCCGATGCGGAGCTTGAACTCAGGAACTGTGAGATCATGACCTGAGCTGAAGTTGGACGCTTACCCGACTGAGCCACCCAGGCACCCCCGCCCTGCC